TCAGACTAAGTCAATAGGAGTGACAGAAATATCACTTGTATTCAAGCGCTTTTGTGTACAAAGTTTTGTTTGAATACGGCGGACTAGAAATATTTATTTTGAATTTTTCAGAATATCAGGTTGTTACTCGCACAAGCGCCACACGCTAAAATTGGCCAATAATGAGCACCCATAGCCCTGATGCACATGCAAATCATGCTACATGAAGGGGTAATTTGACCTTTAGAATTTCTGACGTTTCCCGAGTGCAGATTTTTAATATGTCAAGCTGTATTTCCGGTTGAGGCTCTCGCGTAAAATTTAGATATTCTGAAATACAGAAATAAAAGTTGCAAATCTGTAGATATAAACTTGCAAATAACACTCTAAATAGTGTCTTGGATTGTGATTCGAACAAAAATATTATGCGTAAAAAAAAACCTGTGGTTCCGGTTTCATATCGCGAAAAAATTAGGGTCGGTAGGTCGGAAATAATTTTTTTTTTGAATATTTTTTTCATGATTTTTCCAATAATTAGTGTGACAACAGACACCAATTTGGCAGCAGCCCGCAACCACCCGGAGAAAATAGGGTCGCACGGTCAATCGCGTTGAAAAAATAATAGGGTCGGCAGAAAAAATATGGTTGGTCGGGAACCGGAACCACAGGTTGTTTTTTTTTATGCCTTACGAAAGAGATAGGTTGAAAGGGGCTAAAGTTATATTCGGCAAAAGGTATGGCTTAGTGATACATTGTCGTACATTGTTTACATTGTTCAAGTGCATTGTATATAGCCTAATATAGGTATTGTATGGCTAGTTTACAGTGTTCGAGTATGGCTAGTTTATATTTTATGGCTATTTTACATTGTTCTAGTATATAGTATCTTTCAAGTGGAATTTTTTGGTGCTATTTTCGTATTTCTACGGCAAATACTTACGGAGTTCTTTATAATAACGTCGGAAATGTCGCAAATGCGCGGGCTTTAGCCTAACAAAAGAGCCTGTTCACAGGAAAAGTGGACTGTCCACTCTAAACCTCTTGTCGACAGCATATGGCGACTACTGTTCCAGTAGACGCCAAAAATGGTTATCATTTCACAAAAATAATTACTTCATTACACAAATTTTACCTGAAAATGTCAAAATTTCAACAGTTGGGGGGTTTTATACCCCCCCCCCCCTGGTCGCTATGTCCCTGACAACCATTCCTTGCAAAGATATAATGACTTAAATTTCTAATAATCTGCCGATTTGTTCTATTTTTAGTAACAATATGGCAGATTTTTCGACATTTGTATCGCTATATCATCCCATAAAATGGTTGTATGTGGATCCGAAACAGATTTCAGTTTTAAAGTACCTTTTGTCTACTCTTCTAAATGGATTTATAAAATCACCAATAGCTTATTTTAAATTTTTTGGCGCCAAGTTTGTAACGTAATTTACCCACCAAAAGGTAGCAATTCCAAAACAAAAAACATACGATTTGTAGGAATGAAATGTTCTATATTCATGGAAAATTTGGTAGAAACAGGATGACAATTTCAGAAGTTGAAGCATATTGGTGCTTTTGCATGCATTTTGACATGTGTGTTGTAGCCTTCTTTTACGTATTCCATGTGGAGCTCCCCCATGCCAGTTAATATAGAATAGATGGTTTGGAAACTCATTAATACTGTAGCAATTTAACTCATTATCTAGTATGTCAGTCAACGTTTATTCATAAATATGTTCCTCCACAGCTTCACCGTCATGACTCACATGTGTATTATATTTTTGCCATGTCCACCAATAGCAATTTTCAATTTACCCTATTGTTCGAGTCATGGATATAGGCAGGGACGCCGGAACTGGGGGGGGCAGGAGGGGCAGCCGCCCCTGTTGCCCTTTACCAGGAGGGGCAAGGGGGGCAAAGGTGCCCTTTCAATTTAAAGGATTGCCTTGGCGAAATAGCAAATTGTCAGAAATGTTAGTGCAATTCTTTTACAAATTTGCTTCAGAAAACGCAAGAAATGCAGTCATCGAGCTTCAAGAATAGCACAATTGCCTGGCGGAGAACCCCCTCACACCCCTATCATCCAATAAATAGAAAACATGATTAGGCAAAGTTCAACTCCCGATGTTTTGCAAACATCCCTTAGTATATATCAGTTCAAAAGTGCCCTTTCACGAACATCTGTCCCCCTTTGCCTTCACATCGTTCTGGCGTCCCTGGATATATAGGTAACTTTCCCAAAACATTACTATTGGTTAGTCGGGCAAAATACAATATGCATGTGATGGTGAAAGACCAGATTTATGAATAAACGTTCACTAACATAGATAATAGGTTATATTGTTATTCTAATAAGTTTCCAAACCATCTATTTTATTACTAACTATGGTGGGAGTGAACACTCCAGTCCCCCTGCTGGACCAAAACTTTGAAAAGTTTACAGCCCCCTCCCCCCTTCGGTATATCGAGAACTTTCGGAGCCCCCCCCTTTAATGCCAGAAAATATTTCGGTCCCCCCCTTAACATCTTCATCCTCCCCTCGGCATAAAAGAACACTCTACTAGTATGAGTTGTCACTACTCTGCATTCTTGCTTTCTCGGGACAATTGTCCACTGCTGACAATTGAATCAAGGGTTTCTTCAAAATTGGGGTGGGATGCTATCTATGTATACCTGTGAATTTCAGGCTGCAAAACAAAGGTCTGTGCTAAGGCTAAGTCGTTTGTGGAAAATAGAAACATAAAATAGTATTTTATAACAAACATACTAGGTGAGTCCGGGATTGGACACACCAAGGGTGGCTGGACGTTTGAGGGGTTTTACCCCCCCCCCCCTGGTCGCTACGTCCCTGACAACCATTCCTTGCAAAGATATAATGACTTAAATTTCTAATAATCCGCCGTTTTGTTCTATTTTTACTTTTTTTAGTAGCAATATGGCGGATTTTTCGACACAAATATCGCTATATCATCCCATAAAATGGTCCTATTTAGAAACAGATTTCAGTTTTAAAGTACCCTTATAGTCTACTCTTCTAAATGGATTTATAAAATCACAAATAGCTTATTTTTAATTTTTTGGCGCCAAGTTTGTGACGTAATTTACCCGCCAAAAAGTAGCAATTCCAAAAACAAAGAACATACCATTTGTAGGAATGATATGTTCTATATTCATGGAAAATTTGGTAGAAACAGGATGACAATTCAGAAGTTCAAGCATATTGGTGCTTTTGCATGCATTTTCACATGCATGTTGTAGCCTTCTTTTATGTATTCCATCATCACACTTTGCATGCTCAATGTTTAAGGTTTGAGACTTTTTGAAGGAAAACCTTTTTTGAATTAACTGTATAACAAACTTTATCACACACATTAACATAAAAACAGTATCTCACTGATATCGGTTTTTGTCATTGATATCAGTTTATGTCCCTCTACTTTAATAATTTTTGCATTGGGGTAATGAGTAATATTCTTAGACTAATAAATTCTGACCCTGATAGTGGCACAAGTATATAGTAAACAAAGTTATCATAATCGGGACATGGTGACATCAATTTTATTGTTTGGTTGCAATATTATTGGTTCTGGCCAAGGTGGATTCTTATGGTGATATCTCCGAAATTAATGATAGGATATCCAAAATGCAAGATAATTGAAACAAATATATTTGTGAATTTGTGCATGTCTGCACATATTAGCTATTTAGTTAATTAATGTTTTTGTGCATAATTTATGTGTAAGCAAGCGTCTACAGGGAAGATAGTTTTAAATTTTTATAATATTCGGCATCAGTTTTTCTCCATCTTTACTTAATTTTTTGGACTTATCATATGCTCATTTACTAATATTTAACCTAGATTAGCTTATTCTATTTGGGGGGGTTAATCAATGTAAACATCCTATATCAATAATAAAGATATGCTCTGTTGTGTTCTGTTCTGCTTATCGAGAAATGAAGTTGATTAAAACAAAAAGGAATTTGTGTCCTGTTAACGTTGTTGGCACTAAATCGCAATAAAATAATTAATGAAAGAGTTTCAAATGAAATAGGCTGGGAAGACTCCATAAAGGCGATTTCCGACGATCTAGAGACTCCATATTTTCAAATCTCCCCAAATGCCACGGACGTTTTTCCCCCCAAAGTTGGCAACTATCAGTATGGGTTCATTGGAAAAGTAAAAAAAAATCCCGAGGAGAACACTGGGTATTTGTCAATGGGGGGTCGAAGCAAACTTGGAAATTTCCAAGAGGTTTCTGAAAAATTAAACAAATTCTGAGGGGGTTAGGAAAGAACAAAAATTTTCCCGAGGATTTCTCGTTATGGAACTTCGTCAACAGATCTGTATTGCTGAGGGGGTTGAGAAAAATTCTGAGGGGGTTCTGGGTGTCGATTAAAAACCAATTTGCAAGGGGTTCTAAAATCAGAAAACGAGAGGGTGTGGATATTAAATGGAATTCCCCCATATTAAATACGACTAATCTTAAATTAGCGAAAGTAAACTTGATTTTGACGTATATGGTTACGAATGAAAGTCAGAAATGCTCAAATGTTCTGGTGAGAATTTTCTTCGTATAAGCAGTACTGCATCTGAGCTAAATACAAAAACTGTTGCTTGAAATTGAAATGAAAACATGTAAAGAAACCTTTACCAACTGGTTTCGCGTGAAGTGCATGAGTGCGTTTTTCTTTCGTCCGCAAAATAAAGATGTTTATAAATGATGAAATTAAGAATTCATTGTACTACAATTTGCTGGTCAAAATTTGAGCTAAATTGCTTATTTTAATAATTCAGTTCTTGCGAATAACCCATGCAATGTGTCTTGTAACTTTAGAAATGTCCATGAAACATTTATGCACCATAGAACTAATAAAAGTAGTGTGATGCAAACGATATAGTAGTGTTCATTGCAATATTTATAGTAAGCAAACAGCTCATGTATTTGGTGCATGACTAATTAAATATATTATTTTGCAGTTTCTTCAACAGTACCGTCATTATCAATCTAACCTTGAGATATTCAAGATGAATCCATCACTTTCTAATGAAGTTTTTCAAGACCTTGTTAGGTTTCTAAGTCAGGTATATGTGCCGATATTTACATTGAACTCGTTCTTTGGGATTTTCTTCATGTGCCGGACACAGACATATCGTTTAAAATATATAGTGCTCCCTTTCGTTTTAATTCTTTATATCTATTAATCTGGAGTCGAAGGCTTATAAGGCGCCTCTGACCGCCACCATATGAGTATGATCACGGAGCAGATCGAGCTACGATGGTTAGTTTGGAATATACCAATCTGTCAACACTCCCTGTGTGAAGAAACCGCGGACAAAGAAAAC